GTGAACAAAGGCCTCCTGTAGCGAATCGATGTGTTTTTGTAAGAAAAATATCCATATTCAAAACGTAATACCCCCTGGAGCCGTGTGAGACACTTTTTTTTATGGATGGGCACTTTTTTTTTACTTCTTTTCGACTGATGCATGCAACACCCGCTGAGTGGCATTAAACAGCTTGAAAGATCAAAGACAATTTTTTATATAACTCCGACTGGATTCGTCTGAAAGAAGAAAGTCATATACACCTAGGATGACATGAGGGTGAGTCATTTATGGGCTAATTACATTTTTGGGTGAACTAACCCTTTAAATTGTGCTCCGAAGATGAACGAAGGTCTTACGGGTTTCGAACAACACGAGGGTGAGTAATTAATGACAGAATTTTATTTTTTAGGTGAACTAAACCTTTAACTATTTAAATAATAACTGTTTAAACAACTTTTTTTTTTTTCAGGCCCAACTTACTCTACCACTTCCCGTTGAGACATATCCAAATATCGGTTGCTGACCCACTGGATCTGGAACCAGTCTCTGTAGCCCTCGTTCCCACAGCACTGGAACTGGATCTGCAGCAGGTCCACAGTGCCCTTCAGGAAGCAGCGGCCTGGTTTGTCCGTGTCCTTATAGTAATGCATAGCATCACGTAGCCCCAAAGTTATCGCTTCCTCCAGCTGTCCGTGCATGCTGTAGCACATCAAGGCACCCACGAGCACGCTCAGAGTGAAGAAAAACGTGCAAATGATGTATGGGAGCATCACCAACTTCCAGCGTAAGAACTTGTTGGTGTCCACGCAGTCATAGCAGATCTTTCCTCCCAAAAAGTTAATCACGCAGGCTATAAGTCCCACGGCAATTAGCATGTTTGGCACGGATTGGAGCTGGCGCTCAGCCATTAGATCCTGCCGCTTGTTAATTTCAACTTTCCAAAAGATGCCTAAGCTAAAGAGGATGATACCTGTTATAATGGATATCCAGTTTAGTACCCACAAACCCTGGGCCAGTTTGTCTCTCTTGGTTTTGGTGAATTTTATTGGCAGCACAGCCATTTTACCAAAGTTTCAGAGAACCCTCGATATAATTGATCTTGTGGAAGTCTACTGGAGTTCCTAGTACAAAAATCAACTAAATTAGTAATTTTAGATGTAAGTCAATGAGGTGTATGGAAGATGACATGAATGGACTAATGCTTGATAGCTATTAGCCTCTTAAGCTAACTTAGTGAGTGTCAATCAATGGAAAGACCTTGAACCACAATCTCCACAAAGTATTCATGGAGCTCATTCATTTAAATTGTGAGAAGAACTGGATATCAGTAAAAATAGACTTTTAAAAAGGAGCTTTTGGTCAAATGTAAACCGTTTTATGTTTTTGTGGCTTCTCAGATCTGTCAAACTGTTTGGGAACGCCATGTGAGGTCCTTTGCAAACACAGTAAAATGATTTCCATTTTTGCAAATGTACATCTTAGAGGCAAAAAGAGAGAAAAAAAACCTTAGCAACAGCTGAGACAATGGGTGGCTATTGAGAAGAACATGATTGCATAACTTTATGAGTCTGATAAAAATAGACTGATAGACTCAGTTATATGAAAAAAATGTTTTGGGGGGGGGATTAAATTAATCCAGTTAATTTAGGTTTTACAGTAGAGTTTTGGGTTAGCTTTTTACCTTTTTTATTTTTTAGCCATATAATGTTTCAAAAAAGCTAAGAATACTCCTCGAAAGCTTAAAATAGCAGACGAAACCAAGTATGTTCACCTGAATGTACAGACATAGGGCTTGTCCTCCAGGCATGGTGAGTGAGATGATCCCAGCATAAGGGTAGTAATAAACAGTTTATTACTCACCCCTTCATGTCTATCCATCGCTCAATGGCGTCCCGCCCTATTCTGAGTGATTTTTCTCTTTCTCTTCATCAGATGTCCTTGATATTTTTGAAACAATCTGAATGCATTGTTTGCTAATGAAAACTGATGTGTGTGTGTGTGTGTGTGTGTGTGTGTTAGTGTCTGCCGCAGACTCAGTTGTGACCTCTCTCATAATTCCTTCTAATCAGTAAGCAGCCCAGTTGGATTTGGAAGAGTACCTTCTGCCACCAGCACAAATCTCACTGACTGGGATGTGTGTGTGTAAGCTAGAGAGTGAAGAAGGGAAAGAGCTACTAAAAGTCATGTAGTTTAATTGTTATATCATTACTGTGTTAAATGGCACCTTCTTTTCATTTATGTTACCGTTTATATATCCTATTATATATCCCATTTTAAATCAATCAATCAATCAATCAATCAATAACACTGGGATTAAATGTGCCCCTTCTACCAAAACAGGTAATATTTATGTGTACCAAAACCATGTGACCTATATCAAACGCATTCTAATTCCTCACAGTGTTTTCACAAGACCCTTATTTTGTCTTCTAAAAATAAATAAAAATAGATCAAACAATCAAACAAATAAATAAATAAACTAAACATTTATCAAGAGTGTAAAATATACAAATAAAACCCAATAATCAAACAAACAAAACACAAAAAAATAAAGGTAAAACATAACAAAACAAAACAAAACAAGTACAGATAATTATTTTTGGGCTTAAAAATATACTTTTATCACATAAAATTCCTCTTTATTAGTAAACCATCTCCTGACTCTGAGGCTGTTGCTTTCTTGTGTACCATGGGCATTCTTTATATGAAGGACTCCTGAGTTAATGTGCATATTTCATGTAATACCATATGCACTGACAGCCAATGAAATCCGAAGGATTATTCAGGCGTAAAGGGGATTGAGTCAGGGGAAAGCACATTCAAACTACTGTAGTCAGCAGATCTGGATACCGGGCGCCTCATATAGGACCACTGGATACTGAAAGGTGCTTTATCTGGTGAGTACTGGTTACCATAATGTTTATGAGTATCGACCAAAGCATGGACAATTTATCTCTAACTGTATAGATGAATGAATGTTACAAGCATTTATACTAACTATTTAGCATTACATTTTTAACTTTTTCACAAGTTTAAATAGCACAAATGATTTTTTTCTCCTTTCTTTGAATATGTTTCAACTAAGGCCTTACCTTTAAGGCTAAGATTTCTATTATTGGGTAGTTGATGTCTTTAAGGTTTCTTGGAAGGTTCCTTCTGGAATATCAGGATGATGCTAAACACAGAAGTCTCATGGAATAAAGTTTTAACAGACAACAATATCAAAGGCCTCATTGACTGCTTACAATTTATCTCTAACTGTATAGATTAATGAATGTTACAAGCATTTATACTAACTATTTAGCATTACATTTTAAACTTTTTCACAAGTTTAAATAGCACAAATGATTTTTTTCTCCTTTCTTTGAATATGTTTCAACTAAGGCCTTACCTTTAAGGCTAAGATTTCTATTATTGGGTAGTTGATGTCTTTAAGGTTTCTTGGAAGGTTCCTTCTGGAATATCAGGATGATGCTAAACACAGAAGTCTCATGGAATAAAGTTTTAACAGACAACAATATCAAAGGCCTCATTGACTGCTTACGAGGCCTCTATACTGAAGGTAAGAATTCAATGTCTTATATTGTACTTGTGCATACTCTCAATCCAATATAGATCACAGTGATGTGACAAATTGTTTGATGTGCTGTTTCTCTATAGGTGAAGGGGATGCGAGTGAACGTGTGGCCAGTTTTAACAGCTGGCTTGAGAGATCAGCAGAACTGGCCAAGAAGGAGCTGTTAATGCTCTGTGAGTAGGTGAAATCTTATTCAACATTGAGGTTTACCTTTTTTTTGTTTGGGGTGTTCAGATAAAGCTCACCTGGCTCTTCTCTGATTGTAGGTTTCGGTCGATGTAAAGGCTTGTGGATGTGTTTGGATGAAAACTCTGTTGCTCTAGTCCATAAACTGCTCCTCAAGCTGAAGAACCTGCTTTCTCTGGTCCACCTAATACAGAAACACAGTAACCGTCTGCACTCTAAACATGGTCAGTTTGGAGACTTGTTGCCATATTTTTAATCTCGTGTAAGGACCCCCTAATGGGACATGGTGACAGAAAAATATATGAGGATGGGAGGAAAAATTATATTTTAATGTTTTTGCATTTGTTCACAAACATATTGTGTTCTCCTAAAAATTCTGCGTTCTCTCACAAAACATTTGCATTCTCTTGCAAAAACTTCGCGTTCCCATGGAAAGCTTCGCATTTGTTCGCAAAACATTAACATTCTCTTGCAAAACTATTGCGATGCCCAGAGAAAAACAAAAACAAAAACAAAATTTTGCATTCGTATCCAAAAGCACTGAAATATACAGTATATTATATTAAGCAGTACAGTATAGTATAATGCACAGTACATCATATTTCCATCAAAAACTTTTTGTGAGTGAACAGGGGAATTTTGCGAGAGAGCACAAACATTGAAGTATAATTTTTCCTCCTATCGCTTTTTTTGTTTTGTTTGTTTTTTAATAACACCATCACCATTTCCCTTTAAGGTGCTCCATACTTTTCACTTATATGCAAGATATTTTTTCCTTTCTTTTTCTCCTTTGCTTTCTTTCTTTCTTTTAACTGACTTTATTGACTGAGTCATCAGTAAAATATGAATGCACATGATCTAAATATGCATTCACAACTATGACAGCTTTTCAAACAGTGAATTCAATGCAGAGTGCCTATCAAATGTATCAATTTTAGGATGCCTGTGTAATAATACACATAATGTGTAATAATTATTTTACAAATAAATGCAAAGTGTGGAGACCTTTTATGGAAAATGGTTTGGTATTTAAAAAAAACAACAACTGTACAGTTAATTCAATTTAGTATACAGTATGTAATAATAACGTGTAATAATACGTCTGTGTACTAACGATTGATTGATTGATTGATTGATTGATTGATTGATTGATTGCACATGTGGTTTGGAATGCAACCAAATATGAAGATTATTATGTTGAAACATGTTGAAATATAAAAAAAAAAATGTTGGAATATGAAGTGCTCTAACAAATTGTTACTATGGTTTTCACTCTCTGTTCATGGGTATCCCATGTGGGATGTGAACACTAGGAAGCAGGGCTTCATATATATGGGGTTGTTTGAAACAAGACCATCATGCCATCTGGCAACACATCCTGCTGGGCCGCCTGGTGCAGTGGTGGAGCATCACAGGAGAAAAACAAAATTTTGCATTCGTATCCAAAAGCACTGAAATATACAGTATATTATATTAAGCAGTACAGTATAGTATAATGCACAGTACATCATATTTCCATCAAAAACTTTTTGTGAGTGAACAGGGGAATTTTGCGAGAGAGCACAAACATTGAAGTATAATTTTTCCTCCTATCGCTTTTTTTGTTTTGTTTGTTTTTTAATAACACCATCACCATTTCCCTTTAATGTGCTCCATACGTTTCACTTATATGCAAAATATTTTTTCCTTTCTTTTTCTCCTTTGCTTTCTTTCTTTCTTTCTTTTAAGTGACTTTATTGACTGAGTCATCAGTAAAATATGAATGCACATGATCTAAATATGCATTCACAACTATGACAGCTTTTCAAACAGTGAATTCAATGCAGAGTGCCTATCAAATGTATCAATTTTAGGATGCCTGTGTAATAATACACATAATGTGTAATAATTATTTTACAAATAAATGCAAAGTGTGGAGACCTTTTATGGAAAATGGTTTGGTATTTAAAAAAAACAACAACTGTACAGTTAATTCAATTTAGTATACAGTATGTAATAATAACGTGTAATAATACGTCTGTGTACTAACGATTGATTGATTGATTGATTGATTGATTGATTGATTGATTG